ATATGCAATTAATGATAATTAATATATTTGTAATATTGATAAATTTTAAATGATCACTGAAAATATTCTTGGAGACAATGAATATTTCGTCACTACTTCTATTTTTTTTTTCTTGTGACGTTTCTGTTATCGTCGTACTTAAAATTAATTTCTGTGACGAACAAAATTTTGTAATTAGAAAATAACATTTTCATGACGAATTATGTGAAACATGGCGATTTTTATAACAAAAATGCCACAAAGATATTCGTCACTAAAATTTTATAAATTCGATTAAATAAAAAAAATTCGTCACTAAAGAATAATATTTAGATGACAAAGTTAAGTATTCGTCATTTAAAACTTGTCTTTCTATGACAAAATAATCGTTTACATGATAAAACTCTCATAATAAACGTGACGAAATTATCGTCATGAAAGATGAACAAATAACATGACGATACTTATAAATGTCATTAAAAGTGAAACATTTGGTCACAAGTTCGAAATTTGTCATCTAGACCTATTATGACGCGGCTACAGTGACGATCTTCGTGACGATAAAATTTTGTCATCAATTTACTTTTGTGACGAAAAATAAGGCTTACAATACGATTTTTATCGTCATGTTTTATGAAATTTCTTGTAGTGTCCATACGTGTTTTGGTTGAGTCTAAGTGCCGAGTCTAAGTGTACCAACGTCCACAGGACTTCACGAACGACTTAGTTGAATCAAGTTCGACTAAGTATGATTTGTGTTCTTCTTATAAGGTCAAGATAAGGTGTCGATCGTAGTATTTTGACTATATGTAGGTGTTCAATGAGCCGTGCTCTTATCCTACCGGCTTTTGTGTGCTATCTACTACTTCGTAATCCAGGTGGGTTTACTCATAAAATTTCTATGTTATACGTGTTTAAGTGTTTAGTTGGTATGATCATTGTATGCATGTGAACTATGTGGCCTACCGATGTGAGTTGTTACGGCCGTCGGCGGTTGTCCCCGTCAAGTTACGGTATGGTTGCCCTTGCGAGGCAAGCCTCATTAAGACCTAATGAAAGGCCGTGTCCTTGCATGGCACGCACTCCCGTCGTTAGAGTTTATGCATCCCCTTTCCGCGGCCAATGATAGATGTGCACATGAGTGAGATTATTGTTGTGATATTGATAGGAGATGAGACGTGATGATGATTGATTTATATTCATGCTGCGACCATTTATGTGCATTGTAATGAGCACTACGGTTTCATTTCTGCTCACTTCCACCCGCTCTTTCCACCGGCTCTTCATGGTGTTAGAGGTATGCTGTAAGAGCTGTGTTTTGCAGATTATATCAATTCCATTTTGATCTGGCAATCATGTTTCGGTCAAAGTACATATGTTTGCAGTTTA